AAAGGTCCAGCAATGGGCCACCATGTGCACGCCCTACATGGAGAGGCTGAGGACCTGAGCACGGTAGGTTTGGTGAAGATGAAATTGAAGGGCAGTTATTAGAAGAGCACCAAAGTTCCCCTGGTAGTGCCAGACAGCACAGCTAGGACATCAACCACACCTTGTAGCTTCAGAGGTTCAAGATGGACAGTTGGAAAAATATTTTGCCTGGTGCGGTAGTGCTGTGCTGGTACAGATCATCAAACAGGCTGAGAGTTTCTGTCCTTAGACAGGCCCATCCAGAGAAAGTAATGGCTTATCTGGATCACCACTTTGCTCAACAGAATTCAAACCTATTCTCATCACTGACTTAAGTTTCTTTAAAGGAAGTTTCTTCCTTTAGAAAGTCACCCTAACCACATAACAATGTGTCATTATCCAGCAGAGGCCCAAATAGCAGCCTTCACCTCCAAAATTGAGTATGTGTGCAAGTGACAGACTTTTTTTTTTTTTTTTTTGATGGATTTTTTGAAGATGAAAGGAAGAAGCTGGAGGAAAAGCCGCAGAAAGCCCATCACAAAGTAATCTTAACACATAACTGAGACACATTACCAAAGTCCTCACGGACACAGAGCCAGGGAACAAGGGCTCACCCCACTGCTGCAAAGCCACTGGCAGCTAGCACCTCGTGCCTGCAGCCCAGCCATGCCCTCTCCTCCCCTCACAACCCCTTACACATTTCTCTGGAGGCAACAGTCATCAGTGCCTAGGTATACTGCTTCTGATTCATGACTTGGTACGGTTTGCAATAAGCATGCAGTACTATTTAAAGATGCAAACTTCAATAACCTCAAACACAGCACATCACACAGTCCACAGGCGTTCTGCTGGGGGACCACCCAGTGTGGCTGGCACACTTGGGATCAGGTTCTACACTTAGGAAAAGGGAAGAGATCCTTGTAAGCATTGTTCAAGAGAAGTCTCTATCTGTTCAGTGGATCAGTGAACACCCTAACTCTGAGGTGGGAAATAACAAACAGAGAAATCAACCAGCCCTCATTTAGAAATTTTTGCAGTACAGGAAATGAGGAAAACCAACAACAGCCTCTGCAACAAAAGAAAATCCAACACAGAGGAAAGCTGAAAGGCTGAGGATGTCCTGGATTCCTTCCAACAGGCAGGCATGCTTCCTGCTGCTGTAACTGGGTAAAGGTGCTTGCTTGCAAATTCAGAAAGTGTGTTGCCATCAATAAACTGAAGCTGGACTAACAAGCTTTGATGCAAATGCTATATTTGGTCCCTTAATTAGTGAGAGGAAAAAGTAAAAACCAGCAAAGCAAATCTCAGTGCAGCAGATCACAGGTATGTGTCTTATGCAATACGCAAATATTTATCCTGTACCCACTTTCAAATACTTCTTGGCCATTTTAAACTCTCAGCACTTGATCTAACTCAGACAAACACTGTAGGCACAAAACTGGTCCCTGCACTGAGATCAAAATAAACATCTGACTTCATATGCAAATCACATCATAAAATCTTTTTTTTTTTTTTTTAATTTAAGCATAATGGATAATTTAAATCCAATACTGTCTAGCTGAAATTGTTGATGGAAAGCTATTCAAAAATGTGCTAAAATTGATTATCTAAATACCTGAAATATTGCTCAGTTAGCCTTTGTTTTGTTGCTTTTTCTGAAGACAGCAAGGATGGAAATGTTCATTTGATGGCAGCGAGTTTCAAGGAGTTTCACTTTTAAATATTTCTAAACAACTTACAACAGAATTTCCAAAACTCATTTTGAAAGTTTAAAAGTTCAGGCCAATTCCACTCTCTGTGGTGACAACTAGAGTTTCTGAAAAGGGAATTACAAAACACGAACTGTTGATTCATTGGATTTAAAAGTTTTGGGAACATTAAAGGCAAATAAAAAAGTGAATGAAAGCAAAATAAAGGAGGGGGGAGGGGGACAGGGTTTTTTGCTCTTTAGCCCCTTGAAAGACTTTTCATTGAAATGATCAATTTTCACAGCAATGTTCCCATTTGATGGCTTTTTCTTTTTAAATGGTTCATTTACAGTATTAATAAAAATGGCTCTGTATAAGTAATTGAGCATGTCAAAAGACAAGGCTCCAGGGGCATCAGGTGCTCAGGCATGAATCACACTACTTTAAAACATCCAGAAAGTTGCCAGGTATTTTATAGGGCTCCAATGCTTCTGTTGAGATGTACCACTGAGAAAGTACCAGATACTTGGTACTTGTTCCAACAGTGACCCCTTCGGGAAGAAAAAGGGGCAAAATCTTGTTAGTAAAGGAAAACAGAGCCTAATTTCAGCAGTGTCCAGCTCATGCCAGGGCACTGCAGCACTCGGGGAATGCAGCATCCCCAGGAGCGTGGCGGGCCCAGCAATCAGCCACCACAGAACAGACATGTTTTTGGTGCAGAGCCACCAATTTCTCATGGTGTCCACAGGCACAAGAGTACTCGGCTGCTGCTTTACCACAAACCAGAGGTATTGAGAACAGAAGAAAGTCAGGTGGCATGGTTGAATATGCATTTCATTGTGTAACCACAATTATTGCACATGGCCTGGTGCCCGAACACAGCATTTTCTATGGGCCTAGGATGAGTCCTTCTTCCATGTTACTATTCAATCAGCAGAATCATTGTTTAGCAGTGTTTCTGCTCTATATTAACCTCAAGCTGGAAGTTGCTAGAATCATGTTTAAATCTTTCGTATGTAACATTTCCAAAATCTTCTCCATCTCTCTTCATTTTTAGAACCTGATTTATTCATTGTAAGTCAGATTCTCACGGGTTTAGGGAATTACGGTGCCACACTAGTAAGGAGGCAGAAAACATAATAAGGCATTAGTTTTCCAAAATATCCATATTTTTGCTCAAACTAGACATGGATTATTTGTTCAGAGTAGAGAAGGAGCTTCCTCTGATACACAGATTAGATAGAGGCTTGATTCATTTCCTAGTTGTGGCAGACATGCTCATAACTCATCCTGTTGGGATGAAGTCATTTCTACTAAACATGTAGAGAATTGAGGCTGGAATATTATAAATTTCACCCAAACTTGTCAGCTCTGAAACGGTGAGTGAAAACAAGTACATGAAACAAGTCTTTCCTAAAGATCAAATCCCAAACAATATCTTGTAAAGGAAGCGATGCATTTTCTTATTTGCATTATTATAAAATTGCTGTATGCATTATTGCAACAGTTTCTCCCACTATTTTATGATCACTGCAAGAATCAAAATCCATGTGGAATTTTTGGGGGAAATGTTGGGGCTACTGTAAACAAGCAAGCCCAAACGTTAACATAAATGCCTTACTAACACATAAACACAATTACAGTTTGGAAGACAAGGAACTGAATTTAGAGTGCTACCCGGTCAGAAAAACCTGATTAAAGACAATGAAGACAAAGTGAGATTACATCTAATTAGTTCCACAAAAAAAAATAAGCAACCACTCCAATTCTAAGACCGAATCATCATTAAAATTAGCAAATTTCTGCTATTCAAACTTAACTCACAGTGTTTAAATTAGGTACAGTTCACTTAGAACTTAACAGTCATCTTTGGGAATGGACCATAGATTATTAGGTATAGGAAAGCATCTCATACAGTGTGTGACACCAGACCCAGCATTTCTTTTCCTGTCACACATATCCCATATATTAAATAATGAAGCTACAGTATAGTTTCTCATGAGGTTCATTTTATATAGGCTCTATATTTCGGAAAGAATGAGAAAATGTATTAGCACCTCTGAGAGGGTCCTTACATAAAAAGTAACTTTATGAAAGTATTTAAAATAGAAAGAAGAAAACAAAACAAAAACAAAAACAAAACAAACAAACAAACAAACAACCCTTCTAAAAGAAGTTCCAAAATCCTTCACCTTCAAAAATCAAATTGTGTGTTCACTTTTGGAAAGAAACATGAGCGGAATGGAGGAAGTTAAAATAGGGAATAGCTTTTTAAGACTCTCACACTGGAGTTATCTGAAGTATGTAATATCTCAGACTTATCTTAAAATCTGAAGGACTATGGCAAACTACAGCATCTTGAGGTAATTTTACATAGGAAGCAAACAACAATATACACACATTTTACTGGGGGTACTTCAAAGAAATCCTGGGGTACTTGAAAGAAATCAGATGAAGTGATCAGGGTCAGCTGGCAAGACCTGATCGGAGCTGAGTCTAGAACTAGCACTTCCCAAGCTCCAGTTCAGAGCTAGGTTCTCAAGCCTAGTTATGCACATTTATACATAGTTGGAAATTCAGTTTCCATCTTTTTATTAAGAATTCATAAGTAGACTTACTGCTGACATATGCTGAATTAACATTTTTGAAAACCCAAGTCCTTTTTTAACCACAGAATGAGTTTGGGCAAGGAATAGCTCAAAATTCCCCTGAAATTAATTATTGAATTCATTTTCTTTACAGAGTCTACCGTGAACTGTAGGTAATGCTTTAGAATTCAAAAGTAACAATTCTTGTAAATGTTAGTATATGAGACTCACAGGCCCTGATCCCATGAAAACTGTATCAAATATAAACACTTGAAATAACATTAGAGAAGTTTATAGGATTTTATTATTTTTTAATTTAATGGTAGAAATAATTTATTGGGAAACTAAAACTTCTTGTTGATTAAGATTATGACAAATACTTCCATACTTTCAGGGAAAGACCAGTCAATGTTATTTTCCTTAGGTGAGACTAGCAACGTCAGTGGGGATAGGAAAAAAATAAATGAATACTTTTTTTTTTTTCTAAAGCAAAATTGCTACACTCAAACCTTTCTACTTTCTAAGAACTTCCATATTTTTTCCTCAATGTTTTACTAAGAATCTCATTCACTATCAAACATGATTTCTTACAAAGAATAATAATTTTGATCAACATGCACATCTAAGAAAATATATCAAAGACATTTCTGTAAGAAGCATCATAAGCAGAGTATGTTTAAGTTTCTCAAACAAAAAACAAGTCTGATTGAATTCAATGAAACTTTTTTTTTTTTTTTTGCAGTAAACATACAAGAATTTTGAGAAAAAAATCACAAAATCTCTTTCTTATTTTCAGCCAGCCTTAAGGCCATCATTTATAGGAATACCTCTTAGTGACAGTAAATTTAACAGAAGCTACACTGAGACCAGAAATTAACAGCATCACACAAATCTTCACACAAATCAGTTATCATCAGCTTTAGGTCACTGCTGCTGTAGCTACAGTTGTGTTTGCAATGTACAAGACAGGGACCCCACTTGTGAAGCTGCAACAGTCCCCAGCTCTGCAAGCTGGGTGTCATGTTTTTCAAACATCCTGTTTAGAAATAAAAATTATCTTCACCTCTTTTTGACCAGATATTTATACTTTTCATGGATTCACAATTTAGAGTCATTCAGACCCCCATTCTTATATATAAATAGACCAGAAGGTTAGATAAATGTATACATACATACGTAAACATAGATATGATTTATATATACGTACAGACATATCCCTGAATACATGGGAATCATCGATGCATGCACACAATGGATGTGCAATGCAAACGTGAAACTGCAACTGCATATATTGTTTCTTAATAGTCATCCTTCTATCAATTAACTAGAAATTACTACTAGGTACTTGAAATATTTGATGCACACACTGACAGTCTCCAGGCTTAACCTCAAATCTGAACAGAAGATAATAGTCATAACAACTCCCACTAGCAGTAACCTCCTTCTGTCATTTTTAGCATCCAAACGGTAAGAAAAAAAATAATCTGAGCCTGGTTTCCTTTCTATATTCTATAGATAGTCATCTCCGGCATCAGCAGACTGAGTCTGGGCTTCACATTGATTTTCTTTTCTTCCTGATGTATACAGTGAAATTGAAGTCCAATGCATTTCTGCTAAATAAGGTTCTTCCTTAGCTAATAGCAAACTATGACAATGGTCTGCAAAGAACTAGGGAAATGGAAGCAGGTTTTTTTTAAAAAAAAATCACCAACAGCAGCTGTGAATTTATAACTGTCAATAAAACTGCTGAGGTTTTTATATGCACATTAAGAACATGCTTCAGTGTAAAATGGGATTCTTAATTCTTTTCACAGAGCATTAAATCATATTTAAGATTAAAAATATAAATCCTTGATCAGCTACTGACAAGTCCCCTCCCCATCTAGAACATTCTGTTCTCTGTGTGTGTACATTGTGGACTTCAACGACAAGCTAATTGCTAAAGGTTCTTCTTGAAGAAAAATATAAAACACTGGAGTGTGACTATACAACATATGTTGTTCTTTATTTATGGCGAGAATGACTCCACGAGTTTAAAGTGTTTTCTTGTAACACCAGTGAGATGTGTTTCAAAAGGAAAGTAATTCACAGGTAGATGGTGCAGGACAAGGCTTGAAGCTCCTTCAGATAACTGGGAAAACATTTACTGATTACTTCCATAGTATAGCCTGTGAGGACAAAATAATGAATTTATGAAGAAGTATCCAACCGTTTTTTTTAGCCCCCAGACACCTACCCTTAGGAAACCAGCAATACCAATACCTGGGTCTCTTGAGAACTACACATTGCCAAAGTGTTTCTCAGTTTCTTGGCATGCACCACGGCCACCTCTTACCCTTACTTATATTTCATCCTACCCCTTGGAAGTAAGATGGAACTGAGAGTAATAATTATGAGCAACCATCAGAGCCTCTCCAGTACTATCTGTAGGTAGGATTGTCTATCCTATGGTTGTTGCTAAAAAAAAAATGTTACTGCCAAAAATCTTCTGTAATTAGGGCTATATATTACCTGCATTTATTTTATATTATTAGCTAAATATTTTTACATAATAGCAGGCCATCCTTTCAGTGGGAATTTGACTATGACTTACCGTGTCTTAATCAGATGTCTGTGAAAGGCAAAATTGCAATAATTTTGTGGCACAGCCAACACTCAGCTAGGCAAATTCAGCAGCCTAATTTTGGTGTTCTGGTGTATGCACTTGACAGAATTCAGAATCTAGTTAAACAACAGGAACAAATAAGCATTGCCAAGCAGCTCCGGCAGTTGCTCTTCCACCACTACCTGATGGTAGCACCCACCAAGGGTGGTTGAGGCCCCACAGGAGCCTGGCCCTGCACAGCTTGGCCCAACCATGTTTGCCATCCTGCTGCCCTAGGCCCTGCCCTCCACTCTCAGGACCTTCAACACCACTTGCGCCCCAAGCTGGGGGTTTTCCAAACAGGTTGCAGCCCTCAGGCCTGCAGCAGCCCCGTCCTTCCCCACCTCAGTGCACAGGCACAGCAGCGTGAGAAAGGGCAATGCACCTTCAGCTTCTGGGCCTTCACCAGAGAAAGTGGCAGCTTGAGTAACCAGTTGTTACTCAGCTAGTTTCTGATGAAGTACTACCACCACACACTGCTACACGAAGAGCATGTGTGATGGCAAGCGATTAATTGCACCCTGGAAGAACTAAAAAGAGTCTCATATTTAAAATATTTTATGGCAACTATGAATTTTTTCCTTCTAATTATCAGAGTAGAGACGGAGTAATGCACCCTTCACCTCAAATTTGCTTATTTTTGTTTTTCCTTTCCTCTATCCTATTGCTTTGCCAATGCAAAACCTTCTTGTCTCCTCCTTAATGCTGATTGTAATCTAGGGGCTTTGCTGTATCTGGCATTTTTCACAGGGCTGATGTTAAGTGTTGGTTCTGCACAACAACCAACCTTACTTACATTTTTAGTTCATAAAAGATAAAGTGTCTCCAGGCTGAAAAAGAAAGAAAAAAAACTTCAATTTTATCAAAAATATATACTTCAAACTTTTTTTTTTTTTTTTTTTTTTTAATTCCAGAAACAGCTGTCTCAGGAAATTTGGATCACTTTATTTCCATCACATTTCCAAACAAATGGGTTTTAATATTGTACTGTTTCAGGGATTAATTTTCAGAGGCTCAAAATGCTGAACAGAAATACTCCACTTTGGAGAAGTGCTGAGCAGCTACGGCTGAGCACTGAAAACCAGTGGCAGCTGTACAGCCATAACACTGAGAACTCATACCTATGTTGACTAACTTCAGGAAACTACATCTTGATACCATCCCAAACAAAAACACAAGGTTTTTGCCCTGCCAACCTTTTTGACAAGCATGGACAGCACTGTGTTCTAAACATGACTTTACCCAGAAAAAAAAAAAAATGACAAAAAGCCTTGCTTTTCTGTGCTAGATCATGAGCAAGTCCAAAACCAGTTTTCAATCCCTCCTGAAAAATACTCAACTGTAAGCATTAGCCAGCAGCAGAACTTCAGCAGTGGTTCCTAACTGTTGAAGGAATATCATTCATATTGATGGAAAGTTTCATACTGATCAAACATAGTAGAAGCCTATTTAATCTTTCATTAATTTTAATGTACCACAAAAGATTTCAAGGAACATTGCATGTTGTTGTTATTGTATAACAGTGAGTGTTGTGTTAAGAAATGAAAAATAGGAACCTACTTCTAAATTCTGACTACTTCTTTATGGTCTAACTTAATGCTACTTTCCAAAGCCAAATTATTCTCAATCTTTATTTTACACAGATGAAAATGGACTGGGAAAGACTGGGAAAAAAAGAAATTGTGTCTCTAAATGTACTTATACCTTTCCCAAATGAAAGAAAAACAACCATGCTCTATTAGCACATATAATTAATATTCATATTATTAAATGCAATTGATTTCAGGAAAATGCAAAAAAAAAAATAGAATTATTAAAATTATCAAGTTTACAGCAAATCCATGCATCTCTGCTTTAGCTGCTGAAGTGCAGTGGCAACAACTGGCTTAGCAGACAGCTGTGTGTGCATTGCAGAGTTACAGACACTGTGCTGGCTTATCAATTCATATGTGAGGAAGAAGGCAGACTGACCAAGAACAATTAGTTTGTCTTTTAGCACTTCTGTTGGTGGTAGTTGCATCCAAAGCACTTAAAATGCCATCTATTCGCTGCCATCTAAAACCATATGTTAGGATAAAACTAGATAAGCACAGACACCTATCATAACTGTATGTGCCTTTGCAAGCCTGATGGGAGGGTGCAAGCCTCATTTTTGCTGGAAATGAGCACGGTGAGTTCTGCTGTTTCGTCTCTTGAAATATGATTCACACATGAAATATGGTATCCTCAGGAATGAGGACTGTAATGATGCTTTATTGTTTGAGAAAGCCACATGCCCCCAGAGAATGTATGTCATAAGCCGCAAGCAAGGCTGGTGGAGCAGACTTTATTTAGGCTCTAATAATAGAGGTGGGAAAAGAGGAGCTCAAAAAACACTGGGACAAAAGATGCTTTTGTTAGATGTTGAGATGAAACTGAATCAAAATGTGTTCACAGTTATAATTTCTTCTAGAACTGGGAAAACTGCCAGTAGGAATAGCATGATTTTACTTTCCAGTGCCACTGCAATTCTTATTCCTATCAAAGAAAGCTTTTAAAAAAAAAAAAAAAAAAAAAAAAGCCATGTTATTTCATTAGGAGATGTAGCTAATTTGCAGGCATGGTAATTTTCCCCCTACAAAATTGTATAATGAGCTTTAAACTGACTAAATAAAGGGTCTCTTCTCATAAGTGATTGTGCTTAATTTACACAGGAATTAATGGTGACTGGACCTCCTTTCAGAATAGCTTTAAAAGAGCTGCATTACAAAAACAACTTCAACAGCTTTGAAACAATACTAATAGTCAACGAAGTCAAAAACACTTATAACAGTGCTTATAAATAGGTGTCTTCACAAATACTGTTTACAAGAGACAAACATAACCATTAAAGCAGGTATCAGAATCCAGCAAACTTATAATGCTGATTTTATATTGTTACTTGGGAATTATGCTGGTAGGCAGTATAGAAAAGCCTAAATAGCAGATGGACAAACATTTCAGGAAGGTATACTTTTATCTGTAAGAATTGCTCTTAGTGTATTCAGTGCTATTTGCTGTTGCAGTTTTTTATTTGTTTTTGTTTTGTTTATCATTGATTAATGTGTCTAAAGAATGGAAAGAATGGTTTATAGAGAAGCCTTAAAATACGTAGCCCAATTTTCATGTAGTTAAGCAGTACGTACAAAACTTCAGCATTTCCAAAACTCAGGTATTTTAGGATACTTATATAGAAACTCAATGTCAGAAACCTTGTTTATGGTCTCACAACAGTATCAGGCATGCCCCACAAATAGAGTCTGTCCCTGGCAAGTTACTTAGAGAAATTAAAATTTCTATTCCAGTCACCAAAGTTGTTGACTCTGAGATTGTGGAAGCAGAAATACAGTTACAAGTTTTAGTTCCAAATACCCCCCTTTTTTCCTTTGTATTCTGACAATTTTGATAACTGACCTAGTTATCTTTTTAATATATCATAAAAATGAGACTTGTAAAATTTCAAGTTTGAAAGGGGCCATTAAATCATGTAGCCCATCCTCCTTTATGTTTCATACAAGGTCTACAGATAATATAGAATCAGTGACATCTGTGAAAACAATTAACAAAATCTAAGACAAAATATTATGTTAACAATACAAAATGATACCTTGCTATCATAGCAGCTTGATTAACTCACAAGAAATGAAAGGAGTATTTTTTTTAAAGAACTAAGAACGATTTCAAAAGAGAAGTAAAAATGAATCCGTGAAAATATAATGCTTGGGAGCTTAGTACATCATGGTTGTGAAACCAGTATTTCCTCCGATCAAAATATGAATGAAGCAGCGTTTTTAAACACATCATCACCATCTACTGGACACCAGGGAAAATGCAGATCAGAGACGAGACCAAGTAAACAGACACCTGGGGCTGTCCGGTCCATCAGGAAATCCTGTAAAGGCTTCTTGTCTACATCATTACTTCATCCTCATCCTCCACACACCCACCTGAACACAATCTGACCTTCCTCTCAAGTTTAGAATATAACCAGTCCAAAGGTGTGAAAGTGCATCTGGTAGCTAATGTATATCCCACCTCCAAGCCACAAATGCAGTTTTAGTCTTACATCTAGCATGTACAGTAAACTAAAGCCTGCCACTTCTCTGCCAAGCTACATGCACATTATCTAGTTTCCAGCAACTTTGACAGAAGGAAACCCTTGGACAGTGTTCCTGATGCAAACTTATACAGGCTTCCTGAAAATGTTTTATCACCTCTCCCCCCCATCTGGAAGCCATTTGCTCACTTTGGAAATGAATTTAAAGCTTGGAGAAGATGGAGGAGAGCTACAAGAATAAAGGATTTGACAGTGACAATGGTTTTCTCTGATACAGAAGTCTCCACTTCATCTTACAGAAATCCATCAGTATGTGGGTGGAAACATCTGCTTCTGAAAATAACTTCACATCCATATGATGTATGTGTGTGATTAGATCCAATGGATTCAAAAGAAGTATATTCCTCTTGAATACAAATGCAGTAAAGCACCTGTGAATATGCTTATAAAATCAGAACCGTCATTTTCTGAGTTGACACAAACCATTTAAAATAAATTACATAATAAGCACTATCAAAGAACACAAAATGAACTTATTAATACCTACAAAATGATGAGTGACAACATGGTGGCAATATTTCCACTCAAAGTTTGGACATCATCATAACTCATGCAACCAGTTCAAAGTAGAGAGTTAGATCACATATGAATTTTGCATGACTGCACAATGCAATAGCAACACAATGGCACTGGCCACCTATGAAGGAATAATTAAAGAGGAGGAGGAGTAAATAAGTAAGTAAGGAGGAGGAGTAATCCACTCTTAGCTTTCCTCCTCCCTGTCCCAGATCAGGTTTGTGAAGCCTATGTAGGCCAAGGAGGCCATGAGAATAGCCACAGCTCCCAGAAGCTGGGTGAGCACTCCCTTGCAGAGCCCATCCTACTCTGTGGGGCTGCAAACTGGTGCTTGGTGTTTTCCCAGATACTGCACACACTGAGCACTGGCCTGGGACTTCAGGGGCATATGGGAACTATTGCTCAACCTGTTTGGCTTTGCAGAATGACCTCAGCCCAGACATTTCACCCCTCCATTCTCTCATTTCCCCACACAGAAATGGAGTAATGACAGTAACCTCCCTTGGGTAACAGTTTGAGATTGTTATTTATAAGAGGAAATTATTATTGCTGTAATTAAATTCCTATCAACTTCATTGCATATGTGAATAGCAATGGCTCAAGAGCAATTTTTTAAACTGTCTATAGCATTACTAATTGGAAAAAAAAAAAAGTTATTGTCTATGAATGCATTTTCTTCGTTTAGTTTTTGTTTTACAGTGCACTAAGCTCCTCTGCTTTTTTATTTATTTATTTTTTCCCCAGGCAGATTTTCTCTTTTCAGTCACTGACAGCCTTCCTTCCTAACACTACCACACCAGGTTACGCTTGTCATATGAGAAAGTTTATAGCATTTTCCCCCAGCATTCAGCAACACTCAACTTCATTCAGGAATGTCATGAGCTCAGCCATTATGTTGTTACTCAACACACTCAGCTGGCATACAGAAAGGTGCATAAGCTTTGCACAGTGCCTAGAACAGTATATCACCAAAACCCACAGCAGCCTTATTTCATTTTCCAAAGTATTCAAAAGAGCAAGACACAGCAACAATGGCACAACACAACCAGCCGCTCTGATTTTTCTGGAGATTAATGACGATCTGTGAGGAAACAGGGGCAAAGGTTTATTTATCAGCCATTAACTCCAAAGACTCATTCTTGCTTTGGAATTATTCTTCAGGGCATGTGGAAAAGGTGC